AACAAGTGCGGAAAAGCAAGTTGAGCGTGGTACTACTAGAGACGTAGTGGGGATCAAACTTGGAATTTCTGCCTAAAGAAGCAAAGGCTCTATCACTACACCACTACCATGTTAGTTACTGCATTTTTATTTTAGTGGTTTGTAAAGTACAACATTCAGTGGTTGTCATAAATGAGTTGAACATTTTGGAAGATATACAAAACAATATTAATTTCAAGTTAAAAACACCTTCAGTGGTTTATATGGTTATATTGACAGCTGATGTAACCTCATTAAAATTTGTTAAAAAAAAATCGTCAACTTCAAATAAAGTCTTCAGTAAACCCAGTGATATTTAAAAACATGGGTTATAATCGTGCTAATATTTGTTATGGTCTCTACTTATGTTTTCTCTACTATCATATGTTATTTCAACTTCAGTTTTCAGATATTGTTAGTTTATCGAGTTGTTAGCTCTATTCAAATAAGGTATCTATGGCAGCACAAGGGTTTACTGAATGATCCTTTTATGTTTGGGACTAAAATTTATGTTTTTTTTTTGCTCCCAGGCTCTAATCATTGCAATTTTGAGCAAAGCATCTTTATTTAACATAAGTATATACATACAAATGTTTGGAGTTTACTACATGTTTGGAAGTTAGTTATCTCAAACATCAAAAAGTGCTGCAACCGCACCTCACTCTTTAAGAGTGATCAATATCTTTTTTTAAAAAAATAGATCAAATTATATTAAAATAATTTAAATGAAAAAAATACAACTTTATGATGGAACTAAAAGTTTCATGCCATTCGGCAATCATCAGCCATATTATTCGAATAAAAAATAAAAACCGTTATAAAAAATACAAATTTAGTGTTGCAACGGCATCTGATGTCAATTATACGTGATCCGATATTTGCTAATTGCCAGAATCAAAGTTAGATAGTAAAAATTTTTTTCTATGCCTACAAGCAGAAACCAATTCACTTTTGTTGTTAAGTAGTAGTCGACTGTCAAAAATCATAATAAAATACTTTTCATTGATGCAAAGGTTACACTTTTTTTGTAGATGGGTTAAAAGATTGGCATCTTTTAACTATGTTGCACTTAATTATAGGCATGTTACCCGCGTCTTTAAGTTTCCAGATTTCCTTGGAAAGTTCCGTATCATTCATATACCTGGTTGCATTAAATGATTTAAGATGGTTTGCAAATCTGAGCTTGAATGTGTTTTCACTAATTCCGATGTAGGATTTTTCGGTAAGACTTGTATTAGGTGATTCTAAAGTGGCTTTATATACAACATTTTTTGATAGACATTGATTATTTAACGGGCATGTGGTTTTATTAATGCAGTTGCAGTTTATATCATTATCGGTAAGTTTGTTGTGCAAAATTTGTTGGTTGTGTGAATTAATTATTGATCAAATATTTGGAATGCAGCTATAATTAATTTTTATTGTGTTTCTGTTGAATATTTTGTGGAGCTTATGATGTAATGGAAAATGCAAGTCAATTAAGTTTAAGAAAAGATGTCCAATTTTTGTTATCACATTTTTACTGTAAGGAGGGTTAAACCATATAATATTTCTTTTTCGTTTATTAGTAATAGAAGAATTTAGATTTGAATGATATTGGAGAATGGTGTGAAATCCAGACTTTTCTAATGCGTCATTATAAATTGGAGCAGTCTTTTGGAATATTTTTTCGCTTGAAGAATTGGAAGATAACCTATGTCCAATTGAGATTGGTAATTGTTTTAAAATGCTTGGTGGATGGTTGGAATTAGTATGGATATAATTTAACGTACTATCAGGTTTATGGTAAGGTTGAAAAGTGTTGTTATTAAGATTAAATGTAACATCAAGGTAATTAACAATTTTCATATTAGATTGAATTGAAATACTGAAGTTATTTTGTTTAAATATTTGAGTAAAATGCTTCTTAATTTTTTCCATTTTTGGAACGCTTGCGTTTTTAAATACGGCTAAGCCATCGTCTCTATATAATCCAAAATCAGTTTTATTATAAAATTGCAAAATCTGGAAAAGAAGAAAAATACCAACTAATTCGCACACCTCCGTTCCATCAAATGCACCCATGGTAACATCAAACAAACCATCTGATTTTTTAATCCAAACTTGGTCATTGGTAAATAATAAAGATTTACGCGCGTGGACAGTTAAAGATTTATGATCAGCATCATTGGAAACGTATTGTTTTGCAAATTTTATGGAATTGATAAGTAGCTTTTCATTAATAGAAGGGTAAAAGTCAACAATGTCGAAAATAAGGAATTTATAAAAATGCTTGTCATTGATGTTTTTGAACCAATTTATTACATTTTGTGTACTATTCCACTGATTTAATTGCAAAATATTTCTAAGGTTGGTGTTAATACCTGATAAAATATGCTCACTTATTCTACCAACCTCATTCTTAGCTGGGTTAATTAGACGAACAGTAGGATTATTTAAAAAATTAGGTTTATGGTCTTTTAATGTAATGAAACAATTAGAAGAACTGTTTATATTGATTTTGTTAAAAACTTCATGATTTTTAAGAATAGTTTTTCCTTCTTTATTAATGCGATCTTTTATTATAGGGTTGGTTTTTTTATAATTAGATGTAGTGGCGTTCATTAATAACTTATTGTATTCGTCTTTTGATAATTTATATAAGTTTGATGTTTTACATTGAACAATCCTAAACTGTATGTTTTTAATTAATTTGAATAAATCGCATTCAAATGCACGCATATCATTAATCTGTTGTGGACATTGCGGTGTGTTAATACCATAAAAACTAAAACTGGTATTCCACCTTACTGATTGTGATCAAAAACCCAAATATATTTATATAAATAAGTATAAAAAGCACAGAGAGTACCTTATTATAAAAAGAAAAATTTTCAAAAATCCGTCATATTTGGGAAGGAAATTGTGCAAAAGGATAAACGTCTCTAATATTTGTCAAATCTTTGATTCCAGAAATTAGCAAATATCGGATCACATATAATTGACGTCAGATGCCGTTGCAACCCTAAATTTGTATTTTTTATAACGGTTTTTATTTTTTCTTTGAATAGTATGGCTGATGATTGCCGAATGGCATGAAACTTTTAGTTCCATCATAAAGTTGTATTTTTTTCATTTAAATTATTTTAATATATATATATATATATATATATATATATATATATATATATATATATATATATATATATATATATATATATATATATATATATATATATATATATATATATATAAATTGTTTAAGTGACATCGTTAATAATATATTTTATATTTAATTGATTAAAAACATCATGTTCGGTTATATTATTTTTATTATTAAATGGTGATATTTCAGCTTATATAGTATAAACCATTATCAAACTGAAAAAACCATTATACAAAATTCATTAAAGCTAAAAACAAAAATGATGTCATTGCAACGTTGCAGATTTAGACTTAAGTTTAACAAAAAGTGGTCTCCAATGGCGTGTCATCACTAAGTTACTATTGTCCCGATTTAAGATATACTCCTGTGATTTAGTGAACTGTAAGCGTTGTATTTCAATTGCTTCTCGAATCTTACGCGTATAGTTATTAGAAGTAATAGAAATAATTTTTGGTTTACTAAAGTTAATTGAACCATGACAATGTTGGGCATGTTCAACTATTTCTGATGCATCCTAGTTACTTTTAGATATGTTTCTTTCATGTTCATTAACAAGTGTGGAAACATTTTTTAGTTTCGCCGATATAACTTGCACCACATGAACAATCTAACTGATAAACACCAGGATAACTATTTGGATGCAATGTTGATTTATTGTGACATAAAATATTAAGTAAAGAATTACTATAGAGAAAAACGATTTTTATACCTACTCTACGAAACTCTCTTTTAAGTATAATGCTTATTTTCGGTATCCATGGTAGTATGACAATTTTTCCATAAAATATATCCTTCTGACGCTGTTCCACCTAGATTATATGGATGCATTAAAGCACATACAAGTGATAAAGGTTACCCTATGCGAACTATAGTTTCAACTAATGTTACACCAGCTCATAAACTTTCGCAACATCTTGTTAAAATATTACAACGTACACTTAACAAAAACGAATGTTGGGTTAAAAAGTCTTTTTCATTCATAACTGAGGCTAAAGAATGGTTTATTGACGAAAATGAAATTCAAGTTTCGTTTATATTATTTATTATATCAGCAAAACTAGAAAAAAAGTTTCCACACGTGTTAATGAACACGAAAGAAACATAGCTAAAAGTAGCTGGGACGCATCAGGAATAGTTGAACACCCCCAACATTGTTGTGGTTCAATTAACTTTAGTAAACCAAAAATTATTTCTATTACTTCTAATAACATTACGCGTAAGATTCGAGAAGCAATTGAAATACAACGCTTACAGTGCTCTAAATCACAGGAGTATATCTTAAATTGCGACAATGGTAACTTAGTAATGACACGCCATTGGAGACCACTTTTTGTTAACCTAAGTCTAAATCTGCAGCATAACGGTTTTTTCAGTTTGATAATGGTTTATACTACATAAGCTGAAATATCACTATTTAATAATAAAAATAATATATAACCGAACATGATGTTTTTAACCAATTTTATATATATATATATATATATATATATATATATATATATATATATATATATATATATATATATATATATATATATATATATATATATATATATATATATATATATATATATACACATCTATATATATATTTTAAATGACAACATCTTGTATGAGAGTTGAATAAATTTAATATATGAACATCAATATAAATGAACTGAGAGTTTTAATTTGTTAAGCACTTTTTTTATTATAGGAGATCTTAAATTTTAATTTTATTCCGGTCTTGCATTTTAGTTTCTGATTTAAACAAACGTTTTAGACAGTTAAAACACCAATAAAAGATAAAGAGATAAACAAAAGGTTCAAATTAATTTAAAAAAACAAAAACTCTTACTTGTATTTGTGATGAACTCATAACCATGCAGTTAAGAGCTGATTTTGTGTATATCTATTTTTAAATGTTCAAATCAAAAGTTTCAATTATATTACAAAACTTAAAAAAAAATTAAGTAAAAATAATTAAAAAACTATGACAAAATGTTATTAATAAAAAAATCCATTGGTTTTTAATTTTCTAAATTTTCAACTGTCAACTGATGATATAAAAGCAAAAAAGGTACCATCAGAAGCTAAAAAAAAAACAAGTTAATATGGCGGACAGAAAAGAAATTTTATTCTAAATGCGATTAAAAAATTTAAAAGTTATATGAAAACAATAATTATTGCAACTTTAAATTTTAAAACTACAAATTATGAAATCATTTAAATTTTAATTTATTATTATTGATTGTTTTGATTGAAATATGAACAAAATAAAATGACAAAAAAAAAAATAAATAAATAAATACAAATAAAAAAAAAGATAATATAAGTAAAAAAAAAGATCAGTGAACAAAATAAAATAAAATTTAAAACAAGAAAATGAACACAAAATACTTAAACTATACAAAAAACAAGAAATAAAATTTAAACAATAAAAATTAAGAACTAAGTTAAAAATAAACCTTTTTAATAAGTTTTCTTGAATTGGCATCATATATTTTTAAAAATCTATCCAAACCGCAAGCTGCAATAAGTGGTTGCGATGGATGATAAATAATACTACGAATGCTACCAGCATTTCCTTTAAAAGCACCAACTTGTTTATTACTCCGTAAATCCAATTCACCCATATAACCTGCACTATTACCAACTATTAAAGATGCATTATTAGGCTTTAACGCTATAGCTGTAATAGGGTGTTCATGCCAATCAGTTGTCATAACAGGCCTTCGCTTGTCACGTTGATCATATATGCGTACTGTATGATGACCAGAAGCAACAGCTAATTTGTTGGAGTCTTTTTTAAAAAACTCTATAGCAGAAATCCATATTGGCGATCGGAGATTCAAAAAATCATTTCTAACCTGAAAAAAGTTCAAATTCTTTTTAATTTATAAAGTAAAATAATGACACTTTAAATTTGTTTTAATAAGAGTAAAAATTTATTATGCCTTTTTGTCATTTATATTATGTACTTAGTATGACAATAGACTAAACTCAATTAATTCTTTTTTAAATATAAAAAAACAATTTTTTACCTTTTTTTAAAGAATTATGATGATCATAATCTTTTGATCCTCATCATGATGATTATGAACATTATGGTGCTCATGATGATCATGATCATTATGGTTATCATAATGGTCATGATCATTATGTTTATAATGATAATCATTAACATTATGGTCACCATGATGATTAAGAACATTATGGTCATCATGATGATTATGAAAATTATGGTTATCATGATGACCATGATCATTATAGTTACAACCCTCGGAATTAGGAAAATCAAGGTTGGCAATAATTTGCCGACCTCAATCTTTTAGAGGTCAGCATCAGGTCGGCAAATGCAAAGGTCTTGCCATAAAACATCGAAACAAGGTCGGCAAAACTGATTTTTTTTTGCCAACCGCAAACACGTTTAGGTCGGCAGTTAGGTTGGCATTGCCGAATGCCAACCCTAATTCCGAGGGTTGCAGTTATCATAATGATCATGATCATTATGGTTCTCATAATGATCATAATGATTATGGTTATTATGATAATCATGAACATTATGGTCATCATGATGATTATGAATATTATGGTCATCATGACGATCATGATCATTATGGTTATCAAGATAATTATGAACATTATGGTTATCATGATGATTATGGTCATCATGATGATCATGATCATAATGGTTATTATGATGACCATGAACATTATGGTTATCATGGGGAAAAAAAATAAATAAAAAAAATAAAGAAAAAACTTAGCTTAAAAAAGACTTATAAATCATTTAAATTAAAAAACAGTAAATTTAGTATTTTCTATATATCGTCGGGGATAGTGCAAATCCGGATATTTTTTTTATTTATAAATTTGGATATTATTAATTTAACACCAAATATTTATTGAAATTACAAAAAAATGAATAATACTCTTTATACTAAAATGAACCCAAAATCAGTTAAAATAAAAAATATTTAAAGTTTTAAACTTCTCCAGTAACAAAAATGTACTGTAGATACGTGGTATTATCCAATGCTAGTTATGCGGTTTTGCACTATCCCCGACGATATATTGTTTTATATATTCTATTTATTTGTAATTTAGTTATTTATTTTTATACCATTCTTACCATGATTTTATCTTGAATAAAAAGGATATGCGCTCTGGTAATTGATTCATGATTTCCTTATCAATTCTCCTCATAAATAAGCGTTAGAAAATATGTTTCCATGGTTGTTTCAATTATTTGTATAGTCTTTTATATTATTTGATTTTTGTTCTTGTAAAGATATATTTATTTATATTAAAATTTTATAAAAAATTCAAGAGTCATTTGCAATATATTTATATATGTACTTACTGTGTATATATGTATGCATTACATGTGTATATAAGAATGTTTGGTGTATATTTATGCATAAATTTGGATGTTTGTCTGTTTATAAACATGTTAACTAAAATGCTTTTACTTTTAATCTTTTTGATATTCAACATACTTTAGGTTTTCTTTCTCACATATAAGTAATTTCCCTTTTGGCTATGAAACATCATATATTTCATCTCCATAGATCATCCAGGTTATATTTTAAAATTCTGGAAAATCATTAGGGTAAAATATCCGGAAAAAAATCTGAAATATATATCTCCATTATATTCCTCTTAATTTTGCTTTTAGCTGAGTTGTTTTTAATTTTTTTTTTAACTTTTCTTAATTTTTGTATGAGTGATGAGTGAAAAAGCTTAAAAAACAAATATATTACAAAAATATTTGCCTAAACTTGTATGTATGGAAAACATTTTTGATATCCGGGAAAACTAAAAGTTGAGAAAAATATACAGAATTCCAGAACTATCCGGAAAAAGATAATCCCTGCATCTCTGATTTTTTTTTTTCCGTATTTGAACTTTAACTTTTCACAATAAAGAGTGCTATTGCATCACTTCACTAATCAAAAAGATTTGAGATCTCTTATAGACTTATCTCATAATGAAATCTAGTCTTAAAACAATGTTTTTCTAACTAATCATATACTTGCAGTACTTTCTAACCAACTATATACTTGCAGTACTTTCTAACCAACCATATACTTGCAGTACTTTCTAACCAATCATATACTTGCAGTACGTTATATTATTCGGACTGTCAAGAAACTTTTAATCTTTTAATTTTGTTAACACCACTACTACATGAATTATAAACATTCAATAACTTTCCTTACACTAAACATTTTTTTAATGAAATCAACAACAGAAAACTGTCTTTATGTTTACCTTACCATAAATTTTCAAGTTTTTTATTGCTATAGTTTCTTTATTTTCTTATAACTTCTTTAATTGGCACACAAATCTTCTTAAAATCAAAAGATTTTATTTCAGCCATCTTTTACTAAGTTTATAACTTTATATCTTTGATAATATTTGTTATGGTCTTAAACAATGTTTTCTCTACTATCATATGTTATTTCAACTTCAGTCTTTAGATGTTATTAGTTTATCCATTTGTTAGCTCAACTCAAATTAGGTATCTATGACAGCACCTGGGTTTACCGAAGACTTTAAATTGTTTTGTTAATAATTTTTGTGCGATATTCTGTATGTTGTTTGTGTGCTTTATCAATTTACAATTGTTTTCAAATAAAGAATGACATTGGAAGACCTTACTTTTATTATATATTTTGTATTGGTTTGCTTAAAGCTTGTGTGCATTCAATATTTGCATGTTTCAGTGAAAAAAAATTTGCATGTTTCCAAAAAAATTCGCATGTTTCAGTGAAATAACTACTACTGTTCTTCTATAAGATCTTCCTGAACAAACTGTCAAGATTTGCTTTTTTTCAAAACTAACTTTCCTGAACAAACTGTCAAGATTTGCTTTGTTTCAAAACTAACTTTCCTGAACAAACTGTCAAGATTTGCTTTGTTTCAAAACTAACTTTCCTGAACAAACTGTCAAGATTTGCTCTCAATACTATTCCCATAGTCAATATTTTCCCCAAATTTCCAAATTTATATAGAGTTACAGTACATTGAGCAACACATCTATGCAAGGTACTTATTACATCAAAAAAAAACTTTTTTTTTTTTAACTGAAAAATTCTGGTACTCATTATAAATTAAAATTTAAAAAATAGGTTAGTAGAGTTTGCAAAATTTTCAGACAAAAAAAAAAAAAAATAGTCATGTAAAGAAGAAAATTATTTTTTGTAATGGTGAGGTAAAGACAACTTACCTTAAAGAAAGAAAACTCTTATAAAAAACTTATTTGTTGATAAGAGCAGGAAGATTCATAAAAGTTTGGATGATAACCCTCTAGTGGTAATGTCACCTAATCTCCTAGTGGTAATGTCACAGTAAACCTTGGATGATAACCCTCCTGGTGGTAATGTTACCTACCCTCCTAGTGGTAATGTCACAGTAAAAATACTCATTCCTAGTTTGCAAAACAAGTTACCACCAGGAAGGACATCCAGATGTACCCATATTGATTTTATTTTTTTATAATGTCATATTTAAATAAGAAAATGGCACTTCAGAAAGCCATCCTAACTACACATGTTGTAACCTTAAACAATCCAAATAAACAAAACAGTTTTTTTTTTGGAAATACTTTTGTTGTTTTTGTTTTTTATGTAAGCAATTCGGAAAAACAGCAAATTTATTATAAACTAATAGGAAATGAACGGAATCTAAATAATCAGGATATAAAAAATAAATTATACAATATAAAAATGAGTTGAAAAAGTTGTCATAATTAATAAAGTAATACTTATACATTTTTTGCAACAAATAATGGCTTCTCCATATTTTCAAGTTGATAAACCTTCACATCATTTTCTATTCCTCCAGTAGCAAATATTTCAGGTGTATTACTTGGTACCATACATTTAATATCTGGACCAAGATCTTTTTCAAACTATAAAAAATGACTTAATATTATTAATATTATTATTAATATTAAATATAAACAAATGGAGTTTTATTTTTATATTTTAACAAAATATATTTTACAAACTCATTTTAAAACTTTTAACTTGTTTTTTTTTTTAAACATTCATATTACTAAGAGTGAGGAAAAAGAGGAATGGGTGTGTTTAGAGTATTGGGGGGGGGGGGGGTAAGAGAGAGAGAGCAAAGTTGAGGGAGCTACTCATATTTTTTAGTTGATTAAAATTTCACAAAATTTTCCTAATGTAAAAGAGTTCTACTAAGAAAATGCATAATAACATACAATTAACATAATAAATATAAGTTTTATGTTAAAAACAAATCTTAATATTTTATTCCAAAAAAATAATAATAATATAAACTTACAATATTAGCTCCATCTTTCCAATGTTGTAACTTACCACTTTCAACACATGAAACAATTGAACTAAAACAAAAAACCTTATATGATGGATATTTTTTTAAAACTTCACCATTTAATATTAAAAATATTAAACTATAAAGTTTTTAAAAAATTTTACTATTATATATAAAATAAAACTAAATATAATAAAAGCTATAAAATATTAAAGTTGTTTAAATAAATTTTGACTTTTTAAATTGTGATTGTTAAAAATATATTTACAGTTATTAGTTGTTACTATATATAATACTATTAGTATTATTTGAACAATCATTAAAAATATCATATAATGATCACAGACCATTCTGGTAATACCAATCGTTGAGTAACATTTAATATGCAACCAAGTATAAGTATGCATAAATAATGCCAGTAATTATTGAGATGCATAAATTAGGCTTTCATTTGTTGCAATGCATAGACTATGCTAGCAATTGAGATGCAAAAAACTTGAACATTAGATTAGACTTTAATTTGACTTTCAAACTTAATACTTCTAACTACTACATTATTTGATTAAAGACAACATGTACTACTATTAAACAGAAAGTCCTCAACTAAAGTTACATAATGAGCTTTGAACTTATGGCAATGATATTCAAAATAAAACCTTAACAAGTCTACTTACTCAACATCATTATACAAATTTATATTTTGTAATATCAATTTATTGCTATGGCTTCTAAATAGATTTATCCATATGATTAAAAATAAAGTAAAGACAAAATATCTGTTATTATACTGGACTTACAAATGCAGAACTTACTAGTTTTTACAAATGGGTTTGATTATAATGTTTTAAATAAAAATGCAAGATTTCAGTAAAATAGCTGACGTTTTATTTTGTCATGTAAAAAAAGTTATCAATATAAATTTTGTCATGTAAAAAAAGTTATCAATATAAATTTGTATATAGTATACAAATGTTTATAGTTTGTCACAATAAAATGTAATTATTTATTTCTCATTATTATGTTATATTAAATTTACAACCAAAAGGCTTTAGAGTGGTCATTACAACCAAAGAGGCTCCTTTTTTTTATTGCAGTTGTATCTCTCTCAACCCTAAACTCCAAAACACAAAGCCAAGAAACACAAACTTCTTTAAAAAAAGCCAAGAAACAAAGCTCTTTACGGAAAGCCAAGAAACACACAAACCTCTTTTTAAAAAACCAAGAAACACAAACCTCTTTTTAAAAAGCCAAGAAATACAAACCTCTTTTTAAAAAGCCAAGAAACACAAACCTCTTTTTAAAAAGCCAAGAAACACACAAACTTCTTTTTAAAAAGCCTAGAAACACACAAACTTCTTTTTAAAAAACCAAGAAACACACAAACCTCTTTTTAAAAAGCCAAACAACGCAACCTCTTTAAAAAAACAAAAAAACCAAAACTTTGTTAAACCAAAAACAAGAAACACAAATCTAGTTTTAAAAAGCCAAGAAACAAGTTAATAGCGGTTGTACAAATAAAAAATTAAAAAAATAAAATAAAAAGTAAAGATTGGATACAGATAATAGTTTAAAATAGGCAAAGATTACAGGTAAAAGTTATTAGGATAGTCATAAAAATATCAAAAACTAAAAAATTTAAATATTTGTAAATATATTTAAAAAATTTTTTTAATATTTTTACAAATTGCTATTTTAATCAAAATTTATTTAAAATATTTTTACTAACTGCTATTTTAATCAAAAATATCAGTAAATAGCTACTAAAGTACTTTGATATTTTTTATATGTTTCAATATTTAATATGTTTTAATATTTATGTATGCTGTTATTATGCAACATAATAACAACATACATAAATATTAAAACAAATTTAGACAGCAAGATAATACTGTGTGAAACTAAGTGAATATAGTTAAAGAATAAATTTTAGCTTTTTTTTTGCAGATTGTCAGTGCCATATAAAAAATTTTTTTTTTTTTTAGTATTTAGTAGTTAAATTTGCAGACTAAGACAATAACATTTGGTATTTGGTGCACTAGTGAACTTGTCTGATACATATGTAACATGATGTTGCCTGATATTTTTTGTATAACTATATTGATTTATAACAAAATTTTACAAATATTTCATATATATTGTATGATATTTCTGTAGAAAAACCCACTTTTTTGTATTTTGACATCAGAGCACCTGAAGATCATTTCTAAAGTTAAAATAATTGATATTAAACGACCATGACATATATATACATATATACACAATTAACTATGTGTATTTAGCCTTGCATAAAACCTCATTGATGATGTCACACTGAAAACTGATTGGGGCTCGGGTTTGTACAAGCATTATCTAAAAATGATAGACTTTTATTCAAAACTGACTAGGCATTTTTATATAAAATTGACTAGACTTTAAATACTAAGGAATTTGGCAAACAGTAACAATGTAAACAATTGTTTTTTTTTCTTTTTTTCATCAAATAGAAAGATTGTAATAGTGGATGACATCTCTAGTGAAAAAAATATGTTAGGTGTACATACATCAGAAACTTTGACAAGCTCCATTACTTCATAAAAAGTACTATCATTTAAACCTACATCATTGCTAACAATTATTTAACAAGTTTTTAGTTGAAGTTTAAGATTTGTTGTCATTCCCTGGAATGGTTTAAGACTTGAGTCATTCCTTGGTGCTTTACATTTACCTGAGTCATTCCCAGATACTAGGAGTTTTTTTATTAATTGCTGATGGCACTTCATATAATGTAATTTAAATTAATCCTACATATGTATAGTATGAATAATGCACCACCACATATATATATATATATATATATATATATATATATATATATATATATATATATATATATATATATCTATATATCTATATATATATATATATATATATATATATATATATATATATATATATATATATATATATATATATATATATATATATATATATATATATATATATAGTTCCATAATAAAAGTTTTTTCTTTTTCGTTTTTAATTATAAACCGCTCTGTTTTGAGATTTATATATAATCAAAATAAGTTTTCTAAATATTGAGCCCACAAATCTTTATATAATAATGCTGAGCTTAACAGTTGTGGTAGTAATTGTTATAGTGCTCACTCTTGCCACAGATAACAGAACTCTTGACAGCCATTAAAGCTGAGATAATGACAAGAAAGAGTCTTCCAGCACATTTTTGCAAAGAGTATAGAAAATTTTTACAGAAATGCAAATATATATTCGTTTGAAATTATGCAAATGTAAAAATTCTATTTGGATAGCGTTATTTACAAATGTCTGTAAGCAATTTTTTCAAATAAATTATTTTTCAACCATTTACTTAAAAATATTGAAGTAAATAAGGAATAAGTATATTATATATAGGAATCATCAGTTTGATAATGACCCAGTTTTATGGGTCTGGGCAACTAGGATATAATACATTGTGTGTGTTATAATTAAAAACGAAAAAGAAAAAACTTTTATTATGGAACTATATATATATATATATATATATATATATATATATATATATATATATATATATATATATATATATATATATATATATATATATATATATATTACCAAAACTTCTTTTCAGCACAAAATATGATATTACTTTTAAAAATAAGACATTTTTTAATTTTATTTTTAAAAATTTTACTATTCAAGATATGTTTCGACTGTATATAGTCATCATCAGTTAAAATATATTTGTTAAAAATGGTATAAAATTTAGTATATAATTGTAAAAATAAACATAATAAAAGCCATAAAATTGTAAACAAACTTCCTATATATACAAAAAGATTTATTAAAATTATTATAACAAATGTCAAATATAACAAATGAAACCGGAGAATCAATATTAAATTATGGTGTAGATGTTCAAAATTGATCCCGTATTATTGTTTGTAAAGCAAATTGAAAAGTTTCCATTTTTGTTAGTAAATTTCCATCTGCAGCTCTTGTTTTTGTTTCAAAACTTTCACTTTCATTGATTTTGACCAATCCTTCCATTAATTTATTGTAATTCTGGTGAATGGTTTTGACCGAGTCAGCATGAGCGCTATACCAAGTATTCAATAGTGATTTCAATGAACTACTTGCAAACTGTTCCAAAACACTCCATAACTTTGTAGAAGAAGAGAAAAAATTGTAAAGTTCTTGAACAATACTAAAAAACTGATTCCCTTGATGCAGCAATCTTCAGCAGCCTCTCTTACTAAGTTAAGAGAATGAGTAAACATGGCAAGAGTTTTGCCAGCTTATTGAACTCCAAAATTCTAGTTTTTATGCCTTCATATTTTCCAGTCATATTGCTTGAGTTATCATAAGACTGGCTTCTACAGTTGCTGATTTCCAAGTTCAATTTTATGTCTAAAAAGTCCATGGTTGCATTTGCTAAATTTTCCCCGGTAGATGAAGTTGACAAATCTTTCAATAGAGTCATTAGAAATTTGATCAATGTACCTCAAGATCACACATAGTTAATCTTCGAGACTCACATCAGGTGTTGAATCTAGTGATAATCCATAGTACTTAGATTTTAAAATAGTCGCTAATTGATTGCAAAACTTTTCTTGCCATCAATAGGGTTAATTCATCACATATATTCTTTGAGAGGTAGTTTGTTTTTCCAGAACCGCTGTCACCGTAATTTTTCATGTGTTTGGCCAATAAAGGATAAAACTGTACAATCAACTCAAGCAGACCAATAAAATTCCAGTTGCTCTCAGACCCAAATTTTCAAATTTTTAAAAGCTAAGTTTTTTTTGATCAATGTGCAAATTACAGCTGTAACTCTTCTTAGAACCTCTCTCCAGTAGTTTTTTTTTTTTTGCAAATTTCGTTTAGAAGTCATTTAAAAAAAATGTGTTATTTTCTCTGTGAAAGTATGCTAAGGAAGCTTTTCTGTGGTCTGATGAAAGTTCATGCTCCTGAATTTTTCCAATCTTTATACCCCATTGAAGCTAAAGCACATTTTGAGGGTTTAAAAAATTAGCAGACAAAACAGAATACACAACCCAATGCTCAAGAATATATGAGCCATTCTTTATTAAACGTTTCACCATTTACTTCTTTCCCCACAAACAAGCTTTTTGAGCAATATTGATCACGATCTTGATAGATCATTTTAGAGGATTTAAAGTCATAACCTCCATTTTGATATTTTAACGGACCGTTCTCTATCCAAAATTCTATATCCTTAGCTGAAAGAGTTTCCCAAAATCCTGGATCACTTTTCTTATTCAATGGCAAATCGATAGGGAAACATACCCTCTCCTTATTAAGTTCCAATTGTTTGTTTAAAGTTTGAGTTTCATTAATTGAGTTCTCTAAAATATCCAACATATTTGCTTCTTTACTTGTGCCACAGTTTGCAATATTAGCTGAAGTTGGCGAATTAACATGACATACTGCTTTTTAAAAAAAAACTATCAAGTTTTCGATGTTTCATTATGTTTTCTTTTATTATTGTTTTTTTCTTTCTTTTTGCAGCTCCACTTTCATAGCTTCTTCCCAAATCTGTTAAAAGTTTCTAAAAATGAACACATTTAACTAATTTAATTGCTTTTGTTTAAGAGCATTTTACTAATAGTTAACACTACATTACTTTTTATTATTAAAGTTAAGTAAAAAAGCCTACATAGCTAACGAACGTTTGTTAAAAATAAACAGGAAAACGAATGTTAAAAATTATAATTACTTTTTTTGCAGCGCTTATTTACTTAAAAGTGCGCAAAAATTTGCTTAAAGTTTAATGCAACTTAAAATTTAAAACATTTACTTTCTTCAATTACTTAGATAATTTACTTAAAAGCATGCAAAATTTTTCTTAAAATAAACTCATTTATTTTATTTTAAATCAAATTTTTTAAAACATTATGCACGAGTGATAAAAAAACAAATTTATTAACTACCATATATTTTTGATTAATTATCAACCTGGAAAATTAGTCGGGCTGTTTTGCAAATAATGTTTACTACTGTTGTAAACATTAAATAATTAGAAAAACAGCCCTTATTGTAGTTATTTTCTTGGTTTGATAAGTTGAACTAAGTCATTTTAGAACAAAATATTATAGAAGGTTCTTGGTTGAACTTTTAATAAAAAAATGTAATGTTATAAAATATTATGATTTGATTGTTCGTTAAAGTTATTATTCATACTAAAGAACAAAATGCTTCAAAATGTTTTTAAAATGCTTTAAATATTTAAATTTATATATACTGTATGTATGTATATATATATATATATATATATATATATATATATATATATATATATATATATATATATATATATATATATATATACATATATATACATATGTATATATATATATACATATGTATATATATATATATATATATATATATATATATTTATATATATATATATATATATATATATACATATATATATATATATATATATATATATATATATATATATATATATATATATATATATATATATATATATATATATATATATATATATATACTCTTGCATGTCTCTTGCGTGGCATCAAAAAAAATTTCCCATAAACTGTAGTTTTAAAGAGCGCGTTAATAAACCAGACCAGAAAAAGTTTTGAAAATTAAATTTTTTTTTTTAATTGATAGACTGCCTGGCCAAACCAAACCCTCAGTCGATGTAGCAGCACTCTCTTGCGAGTCAGGCTATTTGTCAGTCGTTGTAGCAGCACTCCCTTTCGAGCCAGGCTATTTGTCAGTCGATGTAGCAGCATTCTCTTGCGAGTCAGGCTATTTGTCAGTCGATGTAGCAGCACTCTGTTGCGAGTTAGGCTACTTGTCAGTCGATGTAGCAGCACTCCGTTGCGAATCAGGCTATAACATAGTCGATGTAGCAACATTTACGCATGTTTAAAAAATGTTTTTTATTAAATCAATAACAAAAACACCACTAATTAAAAAAAACTTTCTAGTTTTTTTTTAAAAAACAATTAAATTTAATGTACTTCCGCATAAATTAATTGCTTTGACATTTCGATGACAATCAAAAACAGCTTAAGAGACGAGGTAATTAAAATTGTAGTCGTAAGAGACTTTTTTTACATTAAAACGCTCTTTCGACTACACTATAAGGGTATATATATATATATATATATATATATATATATATATATATATATATATATATATATGTATTACAGTAATACAATAATTTATTTTATTTATTATATTTATTTCAATAATATAAATATAAATATAAATATAAATATATATATATATATATATATATATATATATATATATATATATATATATATATATATATATATTACAGTTATCATAATCAACTTACCCATCTGTCATACCAATAATACCTCTAATTGGTGATTTATGACTATTCAATGTAGATGTATAACAACAAGTTGAACAATCAAATATTTTAACAACACCATTTTGAAGTCCAACAAGTAACTAAAAAAAATTTTGGTCAAACATGTTGTTAAGTTAAGACAAGTTGTACAAAAAGATTTTCAATATTTAATAATTAAATTTTTAATATTTCAGTAAAAGTTAGTTATTTTTTTAAAATAAAATAAAAGATTTTTAAAATAAATTTTTTATTTATTTAGAAAAAATAATTTTTATTCTAATTGTTTTGATTATCTAAAATAAAGGGCATTTTTGATTTAAAGTATCTTTGAAAACATTATTTGAATATATAAAATATTTGGGTTTGGAAAAGCAATATCTCTGTGTAAATATTTATTGTGTAAATATTTATGGCAAAAAAAAATGTGTTTATTTTGGTTATAAATGTCTTGTTTCTTTTGAATATAAATAGGGGTGTCCTGGATAACAAAATATATATTTTATAATGGCAAAATTAAACCGTGATAAATCTTCAAAATGGCTAGTTTTGTTGGGAAATTTTTCAAAATTAATGATAGCTGTAATTTCATTGTAATATGCATTCCATGTGGTAAGCAAATAAGCAGAGACGTAATAAAACACTGCATAATCACGCAAAAAAAAATCATTGTTAATTGTATAAACAGGAAAAAAATACATATATTGAATTTTCTTCAGCTGAAAAAGGAAGTTTCAAAATGTATTGAATAAAAAATATTGGGTATTGAATAATACTTCTATACGGCCTGGATATCCTGCCACATAGCTTATACAGGACACCACTAATTTTAAATATAAAATATATTTTGATTATAATTGGATTATAATTGTGCTGTTGCAGTTTCTTAATCATTTCTTAATCTTAAGCATTACTTTCATATCTATCAGCAAAACAATTTTCCAGAAAACAGTTGATCCATTGTTTGACATTCTTAACACTCCTGCTTCTGTATCTAAAGTGATTTCCTGCTTAGTAGTCCTCAATGGACAGCACTCTTCTTCGTATCCTATAACTTTCTGGGGTTCTTCAAGGTTCTATCCTTGGCCCTATACTCAATTTAATTTACATTAGTGATCTTTTAGATATTTTCACATCTAAGGTGACATTGTTCATTGATGATTCTATCGCTTAATCTTGTCATGATAAGAAGCCAACACTCTCTGATTGATTGGGGGTGGGGGGCATTTGAGCTTGAAAAGAATCTCACTTCTGCTACAGAATGTAGGTTACATCTCTTTATCGCGCTCAACACTTTTTTACTCTGGATTCTATTCTTTATCTCTATAAATTTCAAATCTGTGCTTGTATGGAATACTGTTGCCATATCAGGCTTGGTCGGGAAGCGGGAGCGATTGCTCTCAAATACTGACCATGGAAATTATATTTAGTGCAAAAAACTGGCCAGGTTTTTTAGTCGTTTTGAGAAAATTTAAGTTTATCTACGAAACAAAAAAAATTTTTTTTACGGATATACATGGAAACATAATAAACTTGTAATAAAATGTTCTCAAATATCTTCGTGCGAAAGAATAAAAAGAATATTCGCGAACATTAAAAACCCGCAAAATTCACGAAGAAACTAATTTTATTGGTTCAAAAAATACGCTGACTTAGCAAAATAAAGTTCTAGAGTATTCTGTTGAAATGTTTTAGAAATAGTATTATTCACAATTTGTTACGTTTTGAGATTTCTAGCATAAATTGTTTTAAGAATATATATTATTTGTTTACAAAAATAAATGTTTTAAGTATATATTAATTAAATTGTCAAATTTTTTAAAGTTTATTATAAATTATAGATTTTAATAGTATATTCTTATTTTTTATTTAAAAAGTATGTATTCTTTATGTAAATGTAATTGTGTGTAGCTATTTTTTATCGTAATGTATCTTTTAAAGCAATTTTTACGATTTAAACAAAGACTTACAAAAATAATTGCGTTTTCAATAAAGTTATAATCGTTATAGTTAATAAAACTAATTATGTAACAAACATATAAGTTTCTGGTTACTAAGCACAAACAACGCACACAAAGTAACTCGCGGATGAACAAGCACCGCGCCTGAGGTCACGATAGAACACAAATATATATAGCAAATACTTAGATATAAAGAAAAGTTTCTATATATTGGTTTACTAACTCTAATTATTTTCGCTTAAGTTGCCATTCTTGAAACTCGTTATACTTTTTTCTGCTTTAAATACAAAAAGCCCACTCACTAAACATCATCAGCGATATTGTGAAGCAGTTTCGCTTCCTTGTCATAAAGTTTTAACCTTTTTAGTTGATTTCTATCTTGTTAATTTAATTTCTATAGTAATTCAATGACTTAATTATTTCATTTGTTTATCTTACTAAGAAGAATTGCTTCAAATATGTTAAACTTTTCAAACTACACAAAACATAAAACAGGTATTGAAAAAAATAACTTTTTTGTTTATAAAATAATTTAGCTTAAATAAAACTAAAACTTGCAAACTTTGCTAAATAAAGAGCATTTGTTTCCTTTTTAAACAACCGTAAGATGTTACTTTATATAAAAAACATCGCTTAATTTTATAAAAAAAATTATAAAAGAGCGATGTTTCGAAAATATTTGTTCTAAACGTAATTTATTTAGCTTAAAGTTTTTTCGTGTTTAAAGATCTAATTTTTTTTTTTTGTAATTGTGTCTCATTGGTCCAATTAATCTTTTGCGCTTTTTTTTTTTTTTTTTGCTTTTTAAAATGTTCACTAAATATTATTTACGTGGTCAGCAATCGAGAGCGATCACTCCCGCTTCCCGACCAAGCCTGCCATATCTGGGGTGGATCTTCCAATGATGCTCTTTATATTTTAAACTAGGTGCATAAATGCATTGTAAACATAGACCTGCTCTTGCAGCCAACCTCCAACTATTATCACATCGATGTAATGTTGCTTTTTTTTTTCCTATTCTACAAATGTTTTAATGGACACTGCTCTAAAGAGCTAACGCCTCTTGTGCAATCTACCAAAATTCATTATCATATTACTCATCATTTAATGAAGTCTTGTCCTTTTACTGTGATTGTTCCTAAGCGCTTTAAAAACTCATATTCATCTAGTTTTTTTCCTTGAACATCAGTTCTTTGGAATTTGCTTCTTTCATCTTGCTTTCCTGATTCATATAATTTGCAATCTTTTAAGTCATGCACCAATCGTTAAACTATATTAATCTATAAACTTTATCTTTTTTTCTTCCAGTAACTTTTAACTCTAATAGTGGTTGCTTGCAGCCTTGTTGGAAGCCAAGTTGTTGGAAAAAAAATTTAATTAAAAATGTTTGGATTAAAGTCATCATTTTAGAAAGTTAAAATGAGGATTGGTCATCTGCAAGGGTTTCAGTACATACATCAACTGAAAGAGGATTTGGGTAGGTACTATCTAATTCACGGCTGTTTCAGAGTGAGCTCTACGGCCTCTTGTTGTTTTTTAAAAATTTTAATGTAAGGGGTGTTACTAAAATATTTATAACTTTTAAAATATTTAAGATAATTTTGTTTTGTAAAAGGAATAAAAACAACAATAAAATGTTTAATCATATGACATTTAATATAATAGTAAAAAAACTGCTTTTAGTTTAGAAAAAACGCGACAAATGATGAAATTGGCTGAACTTTAGTAATTTGTTGTTACTTTTTATCAACAAAAAAATTGAAAATATATATTTCTAATATTTATTAACAAGTTATAAACATTATTAGACTATTATAAAAACAAAAAAAATATTACTCAAACTTTATGTTATTTGAAACAGAGATAATTAAGTCATAAAACAAAATCACAAAAAAATATTAGAGAAAATGTTTCAAAGTTGAATGTTTTACGTCATTGCTTTAATTACGTAAACAAAAATTTGCGCAAAAAACTAGAAAAAAATGCTAAACATGCCAAGTTTGAAAAATTTTTCGCTAACGTAGCAAAAGGTACATAAAATAATTTTTATATTTTCATTTGCATGTAAGGTCAAAATTTCAATAACTTATGCCATCCATCAATAAAATTAAATTTTACATTTAAAAGAGATAAATTTAAATGTATAAATGCATTAAAAATTGAGTTATAGTAAAAATAAATCACCAGGATGACGTAGGAATCTGATAGAATAGACATTCATTGATAAGTGTTCCAAATTTCAACCATCAACCATGTAGATATGTTAGCCAATCTTGGTTGGCCTAATACAGGTTTTCCGCAAAAATCGCCAAAAACAGAAAAGTGATCCAAAATCATTTAAAATAATTTACTAATGTTTATTTTTATTTCGTTTAACGTAAATATTTACTTAATGAAGAAAGATTGTTCTTTTATATTTTTTTTTATTCAAAGATGAAAGCATTTATAGAAAAAAACAAACAACTAACTTAAAGTTGAATTGAATTTTTAAGCATGTATATATGTATGTATGTATGTATGTATGTATGTATGTATGTATGTATGTATGTATGTATGTATGTATGTATGTATGTATGTATGTATGTATGTATCAAAAAAGAAAACTTACAGAATTTTGTTTATCAAATTTTTGCCAAGACATGCACGATATACTTTGAGCTTTATCTAAGGTTTTTATATCACCATAATTTACGAAAGAATCTTTAGAAAGTACAACTCCTAACAAGAAAGTTTGGAACAATTAACCTTAAAAAAAACTGTACCATAAAAATGTCTTTTTATAAATCAGAAACGCTTAAGTTAAGAAAACATTTTGAAACTTTATTAAAAACTTGCATATAAATAAATTATTGAAAAGACAAAATTTATATAATGCAATTTATATAATTTTTGTTATTTACTTAAAAACTACTAACATTAGTTAATAAATTTTTATTTATGTATAAACCATGCATCTAAATGTTTTTTAAACATGAACTTTGTCCAAAGTTCAACAATTTAAACCTTTGAAAATTTTTTTTATAGTTATATGATTATTTAAACTTTTTTGATCATTTAAATAAAAATTTAGATTATTTATATAAAATTTTTTATTATAAAGACATTAATCTTGAAAAATAATCGACAAGCTTCGACAAAAGCTATAAACTATTTTTCTTCAAATACATTAGGGCAGGCTTTTTAAAGAATTTAAAATGGGCCTTGTATAAAAATCAAATCAATTATTATTGGTTGACTTATAAAATAAATTTTGACTTTTTTGTTTCAATAACTTTGTCTTTTTATTTCTTTGTCTTTTTATTTCTTTGTCTTTTTATTTCTTTGTCTTTTTATTTGCAAGTTTTTAATAAAGTTTTAAGAAGTTTCCTTAATTATTATAAGTTAATTTGTAGTTAATAAAATAATTAAAGAATGGAAAAAGCTACCGGTATTGGTAACTTCAGGTGTAGCATAAATATTGAAAAAAAAAAATTTAAGTTTTAAGTTTGTGACCTCAAAAATTAAGCTTTTAGGTAAAATCACAGTAAATGTGGTTGCAGCAAAATGTGATGTATTTGACACAAAAATATCTTTAATAGAATCCATGGTCCTAAAAACATCTGATTAGATACCTAGAAAGTATTTTTAATTTAAAAAGAAATAATTCTAAAAGTTTACAAACAAAATTGTTATATTTGCTTTATTTTGCTGTAACATCTTTTGTTTTAACAAAATAATTTTTTGGTTAATTTTGAATTTATTTCATAGACTATATGAAATAACTTATGAACAATCATTCAAAATTTGAAACCGTTGCTACTGCATTTTTAATACATTACCTCAAATATGAGCTAATACATTAAATCTACAACAAATATTGTTTATAAACTATTGTTAACTTTAAGTTCTTTATTGATGGCTAAATATACACATAAAAATAGTTAAGTTGAGTTGTAAACTAAGTGTTGTGATTGTTTTTGAAAGTTTTAAGATTACGAGTTACCCACATTGTGACATGTTATAAAATATGGTTAGCTTCTATGAATTGATGAAAACTAAAATGTGACTGCAAAACTTAGATACATGCAAAAAAGTTTTCTTTAAAGTCAAAATGCATTTTCTGAAAATGAATTCTGAAATTTCCATTGTGACTGACATTTGTGAGAAGGTATTAATAAAATAATTAAATTTTAGAAAAAGCTACAGATATTGTTAACTTCAGATTTAAAACTGAGATTATTTCCAAGTTAAACTATACTCTGGAAAAGCTATTTGATACAGCAAAGTGAAAGTGTGACATTGTTTCTTGTGAGGAGGCAAATTATTAGAGAAAATAAAATTCCAATAAATGAGTTCATAAATGTTTTGCTCCTAATTTTTTGAAAGAGAAAATTAGGAACAAAAAATATTATTCAAATGAATGCTCTAGATTTTAAAGAAGCCAATAGACAAGAAAAAATGATAAAAGAAAGGAAACTGGAACCAAGAAATAACTACTTAATATTTAAAGGGTCTCAAAGGTTCAAAAAATTATCTTTAATTTTTAAATGATCACAAAATTTATAAAAATTTAAAAAAAAACTTTCACAAAATTTAAGAATTTTTGTTTGTTTTTAATAGCTTATTTATTGCTTTGAAACTGTTTTATAATTACTTTGTTTACTCTTTGTTTTGTACTCTTTCTTTTAAGATAATTTAATACATTATCTTAATTTTCTAAATTTGGTTGCTATCCTTTCATTCTTAAGAAAAGGAAACCAAAGTACCAATTGATAACATGAATAATACTGATGATAATGTTGTTTTTGTAGATAGTTCTGAATAAATAAGTAGACAAGTTTCTAAAAAGTCATTGAATATGGAATAAGTTACATTAGTATCATTTAATTCGAATATTGGATATCAAATAGAGCATTTGCTACAATTTCAATACTAAAACTGAAAGCAGCTGGGCTTCAAGAAGCTGTCCATTAATTATGCCAACAAGAAAAATGGGGAGAGGGGTCAGGATATTTTTGACAAAGAGGAGGAAGTGGGTGGGAGGTTGAGTAAAGTTGACATTAACAACATTACTTTTTAAAATAAATTTAAATATTTAAAAAAAGAAAAAAACCATGTTTTTTCTTATTCCAATTTTATTTGAAGGAGGGGAAGGGGTAATCAAAAGTTGATTTAATTTTATAGCGGGGTCTCCATAAGTTTGACAAGTTTTTGACAAAGGGGAGGGGGAGAGATTTTAATGACCTAATGGACAGCCTCTAAGTATAAACTTTTCTTTGATAAGAGAAGATGAAAATTTTCACTAGAACTTTGACAAGTTTTTGTCGATAACAACTATTAAACAGGAAGGATGGGGTCTTATTAAGCTTAAAATTAATTAATGTCCCCTTCTGTGTTTTATGCACGCAAGAGTACATTATTTATATCTTTGTAACCTTTGTAATACATTGTTTATATCTTTGTAATAATAATTTTAAAAATATGTAAGTAGCATCCTTGATTGTAGAAGCTCTGGAGTCTTGAGGGGGGGGGGGGGGGGGGAGGAAGGCAAATTTAATAACAAAAAAAATTCTATTTTTATCCCAATAAGAAATATAGTCATCCTAAAAAAGTTTCAATATAATGTGTGTAACATTCTGTTACACACATAATAACATTTAAATTGGTATTTTTCAAATAGCTATCAGTATTCCTTCATTATTTGCGCAATTAATAATATTTTACTATAACTAGTAAAATTTACTAATTTTTTATTATTTATTTTACAGGCTACAAACAATTTATAATATCAATCTTATAGTATAAAGTAGAACCACAACTATTAAAATTTTTTTCTTAAAAAGCCTTGACATATTGCATAAAGGAAATTCTAGGATTCTGCAAATATGAACAGCATTTTATTTTAAATTCCTTTTTTCCTCCTAAATTCTTTTTTTTTTAATAAATGAACTAAAATAGCCTAGCCTGGGAGCCTAGGGGATGTAAATTTTATTAATAAAAAAAATATTAGAGTTTCTGGATTTTTAATTTTTTCATTTTTGATAAAGTATCTGCTAACTACCAGCTTTATGAATAACTCAATATCATACTTTTAAAGCAAACCATTTTCTACCATTTGTAATCAATAATAAATATTTTTATGAAAACTTGAAAGAAAGAAACATCCAAAATAAACTTGTAGAAGTTTATTTACAGTGATTTTTTAGTCCAGACAACCCAGTGCAATTGACTTCAAAGCAGTTTTTTTTACCCGAACAATACCAATCTAACATATATTTTTGCAAGCACCTTTCTGCATTTACCTGCATCAAATATTTTGTTTTATTCATATCTATCATTCCCATAATTTATTTTCTGATATTTTAGATAAGCATCTTTTGTGTGACAAATGTATACCATGTTATATATACCATGTTATAACTATGCAAACTTGTGCTTTTTAGTTAACTCATTCTGTACGTTTTTTGATTTTAACATCACATTTTTTATTATATCATTATTTTTACTTCTTAATTTTTCTTGTGATAAAAATTCTTTTATCACAAAAAAAATTTTTAATGTAAAAAGGATAAAAAAGAATATTTTTTAAACAATTTTGAATACATTTGTATTTCACAAATATTTTCCTTTTCCTTTAATATTTCCTGGCAAACTTTTTTTGTACTTTTTTTTTTCAACATCTTAAGGCACTTTTCAACCTCTTAAAACAATCATTTTTTTCAACATCTTCCTTTCCAACAAGGCTGCAAGCAACCACTATTAGAGTTGGAAGTTACTGGAAGAGAAAAGACTAAGTTTATAGAGCAAGATAACGATTGAAAGACGACTTAAAAGATTGCAAATTATATGAATCAGGAAAGCAAGATAAAGGAAGCAAATTTCAAAGAACTGATGTTCGATTAAAAAAACTAGATGAATATGAGTTTTTAAAGCACCTGAGAACAGTCACAGTAAAATGAAGACATTTAATTGAATGACAAGTAACACGAGAATAAATTTTAGTAGAGACGTTAGCTCTTCCCATTATAGTATTTGCAGAAAAGAGACCATTTGCAGAGCAGTACCCATTATAGCATTTGCAGAAAAGAGAAAAAGAAGCAACATTACAACTATGTGATAATGGTTGGAGGTTGGCTGCAAGAGCAGTTCCAACTATGCTTACAATGCATTTATGCATCTTGTCTAAAAGAGAAAGAGCATCATTAGAAGATCCACCCCAGATATGGTAACAGTATTTCATACAAGAATAGATTTGAGATTTATAATAATAAAGAATAGAATCTGGAGTAAGATAGTGTTGAGCAGATTGAGAAGTTGAGAAGAGATGCAACTTAATCTTAATCCTAGAAGATTAAGGGTAGATGATTCATCGAGTACATTACTGTTCATAAATAAAGGAAGATCTAAATTTTTGTGATAACGATTGGCTGAAAAAAATTGGGTTTTATATGAATTAAAGTTTATCAGCGACCATTTTTTGAGCCCCATGCTGTAGCAGAAGTGAGATCCTTTTCAAGCTCAAATGCCCCCCCCCCCCCGAATCAATCAGAGAGTGTTAGCTTCTTATCAAGACAAGAATAAATGGTAGTATCATCAGCGAACAATGCCACCTTAGATGTGAGAACTTCTGGAAGATCATTAATGTAAATTAAAAAAAGTATAGGGTTAAGGATAGAAAAAGTTATACATAAAAAAATAAAAAACCGTATTATAAAACACAAACTAATGATATATTAATG